TGACTGCTAAAGCCAGTCTTCTGCTCTCGTCTCACCGACCTACTGCTGTTCTCAGGGTGCCATCTCCCACAGAGCTGGTTGCCCATAACCGCCCCCGACTTTGGCCACAAAACTCCAACTTCCTTGGTACCCAGCCAAGGATTCGCAAGGCCGCCTCACCTGGGAAAGTGGAGTAGGAGACCAAGATGTCGCTGGGCGTGGGCAAACTGGCTACGGCGTCCGGCTCGTCCACATTACCCGCCGGAGCCTGAAAAGGAGTCGCGTCCGACTCTAAAGAACCTCTGGGAGCTTCATCGCTGGGGGAATCGCAATCCACTATGAAGCCTCGATCTCTTTGTTCTGCAAAAAGCAGCGACAAGGCCGTCCCTGAAACCCATCGTACCCAAGCACAACAGTCGATTCGCTGCAGGAGCTAGAACAAAGCTTCACCTCCACCACAGGCCTGGATGAAGAAGAGTTTGGGCTTTCCTCTCAGACTCGGGCAATGGGACCCGTTGAAATAGTTCACAATCTTTTCTATCGGAATGGGCTTTCCATCTGTTCCATAAACGCCTCCGGGAAACTGAATGTGGCTCGTCTGCAGGAGGAAAATCCAGGAGGAAGTAATGCGCGAGGTGAGGCCAGTCCCGAGGGAGCCTCCTTCTGAGCGGGTGCGGTCCCTCCAGTCTCTCCGTAGCCAAAAGTTACCAGAACGAATCTCGATTCCTTGCGTTCGTGCACCTGCGTGCGAACCTGGTTCCGATTTATACACCCCAGCTTCCGAAATGGAGAGCGAAACACTGGATCAGACCACACCAGAGAAGCTCTCGTTTTCTTTAACCCAGATTAAAGGAGAGCGGAACTCCTGGCTACGTGCTACGACGGCCAAACGGCCGTCAGATGGGTAGTGACGCACCGCTTCCCTCTCACCCTGCGCGAGACCGCAGCGCAGCGCGACAAACCCACCTGACAACCGTGGGAAAGGATCACTACGATGCAGCAGTCCAAGGCACCATGGTCCCGCCGTGCCAGCTTCTGCAGCTCCGAAACCATTTCCTATGTGGAGAACATCACGGTAAGGGTTTTTCAAACTGTACCTCAGCCAGAGATCACTGCCACGCCCCACTCTTATCAGTCTACCAGGGCTGCGCGGCACAGAAGGATCCAGTCGATCTCTCGGCCGCTTTCCCTCACACGGAAGCAGGGTAACACAGAGCCCATGTACAGGCGGCAAAAGCCATCAGCAGAAAGCGAGTACTTCTGCGGTTCTGCCCTTATTTAACGTCGGTCACTTCACTTAGACAGATGTCTCTCCTCGCTGCGTTCTTTACAACACAGCAACGTAAGACAAAACACGTTTCCACATGATCTATCCGCTGAAATGTGCTGCTTTGGGCTAAGGGCCAGTGGGGGAGCAGAGAACCTAGTTTTAGTCTAAGCGATGGCCCCGAAGGATTGAGTTCCCTGCGCCACTTCGAGTAACAGCCGAGGACTGTACGGATGGGCAAACTGCAGCCCCGTCTGCACATGACGCAGACGCTGTC